TTTTTATATATGGTGAAATGTAGGGATTCAGTTTCATTCTTCTGCATATAGTTAGCCAGTTATCCCAACACCATTTATCGAATAGGGAGTCCATTCCCTATTGCTTATTTTTGTAGACTTCGTTAAAGATCAGATGGTTGTAGCTGTGTGGCTTTATTTCTGGGTTCTCTATTCTGTTCCATTGGTCTATTTGTCTGTTTCTGCAGCAATATCAAGTTTAGTTCCTATATCCTTATAGTAGAGTTTGAAGTCTAGCAATGCGATACCTCCAGCTCTGTTCTTTTTGCTTAGGATTGCTTTGGCTATTCTGGCTTTTTGGTTACACATACATTTTAGAATGGTTTTCTCTACTTCTATGAAAAATGATGTTGATAGATGCAGCTGTAAGTCATTATCCTAAACAAATTAACACAGAAAAGAAAATGAAATATCACATGTTCTCACTTACAAATGGGAGCTAAATACTGAATACACACGGACATAAAAATAAGAACAGACACTGGGGACTACTAGAGGGGAGAGGGGGCTGAAAAACTACCTGTTGAATACTATGCTCACTACCTGAGTAATGGGACCATCCATACTCCAAACCTCAGCATCACACAATAAACCCATGTAACCAAGCCTGCACATTTACCCCAGAATCCATTTTTTTAAAAGGAGTTTTTCTATGCAATAGGGTTCCAAGAATAGAAAACATCTGGAGTGAGGAGACAATTCTCAAAATAGAGATGTGTTGCATTCTCAATTAAGGGTGAGCCAACCACACTTGTGGGCCAAAGCCAACCTTTCACCTGTTTTTTATATGGCCTGTAAGTTAAGAATGTCTTTTACATTTTTAATAGATGGGGAAAAAAATCAAAAAGCATATTTTTGACACATAAAAGTTATATAAAATTGCCAGGCATGGTGGCTCATGCCTGTAATCCCAACACTTTGGGAGGCCAAGGCGGGCGGATCACCTGAGGCCAGGAGCTCAAGACAAGCCTGACCAACATGGAAAAACCCCATCTCTACTAAATATACAAAATTAGCCAGGCAAGGTGGTGTGTGCCTGTAATCCCAGCTACTCCGGAGGCTGAGGCAGGAGAATCACTTAAACCGGGGAGGTGGAGGTTGCAGTGAGCCGAGATTGCGCCACCACACTCCAGCCTGGGCAACAAGAATGAAACTCTATCTCAAAAGTATACATATATAATGAAAACTTCAGGGTCCATAAGTAAAGTTTTATTGAAAATATAGCCATACTCATTAATCTATGTACTATCTATGGATGCTTTCAAGTTAAAACAGCAAAGCTGAGTAATTGTGACAGAAAAAATAAGGCCCCAAATTTTAAAATATTTCCCATTTGGCCGTTTGCCAAAAGAGTTTGCCAATCCCTTTTATAAATAATTTCTTCTGTCTTACCTTCCAGTTCACTCTGTCTTCAGTTGTATCTAATCAGCTGCTAACCCCTTTTACTGAGTTTTTAATTTTGGTCATTGTATTTTTTAACTCTAGAAGTTCATTGTTTTTTCAAATCTGGTATTTTGCTTTTCATAGTTCCCTATTCTATGCATATAGTTCAGTACTGTCTCTTATTTCTTTAAATATAGTATATTTAATTGCTTTATAAATAATGTGTGGTAATTCCAATTTCAGAAATCTTTGTGGATACTCCTCTGTTGCCAGTTGTTTTACATGTTTCTCATAAAACCAAGCTTCTATTGAAGCTTGTTTCCTTGTGTGTTTAGTTATTTTTTACCGTAAGCTGTTCATTTCCTTGAAAAGTTATTTATGAGGAATGCATGTCTTCCTCTATGGAAAGTCTGTATTTATTTCTGCCAGGTGCTTGGAGGCACTGCCAGTCTGGAATACCTTAAACTGAATTCATGGCCTGAGGTTCTCTAGATCACCTGAGTGATGAGAACTCTGGCAACAAATACCAAGTATTTTTGTTCCAGTGCCGTGACCTACTCAGTGCTTTGGTAATTGTTCTTGCAGCCTGCTTTGGGGGTGCAGGTTTATTAATAGTTCTAGTTTATCCTTATGCTGGGTCCTTTGGGATTCTAGTTAATATAAAAGTAATTAAAAGATAAGTTAATATAATGAGAAGGTCTAAAATTTAACCAGAATTTCAGAAGAGGAGTAGAGAGAGAGTGGGGCAGAGGGAATATTTAAAGAGATAATGGCTGAAATTTTCCCAAAACATATGAAATTCTTATACCCAAGAATCTAAATGAGGCCAGATACTGTGGCTTACACCTGTAATCCTAACACTTCAGGAAGTTAAGGCAGGAGGATCACTTGAGCCCAGGAGTATAAGACCAGCCTGGGCAACATAGCAAGAGCCTGTCTGTACCAAAAAAGGGAAGAAGACGACGACGAAGATGAAGAATAAGAAGGAGAAGAAGGAGAAGGAGAAGGAGAAGGAGAAGGAGGAAGAGGAGGAGGAGGAGGAGGAGGAGGAGAAGGGGGGAGGAGAAGAGGGGGAGAAGAAGAGTGGGGAGAAGAGAAGGGAGGAGAAGTGGGGGAGGAGAAGAGGGGGGAGGAGAAGAGGGGGAAGGAGACAAGGGGGAAGGAGAAGAGGAGGAAGAAGAGGAAGAAGAAGAAGAGGAGGAGGAAGAAGAGGAAGAAGCAACAGCAGCTAAAAGAATCCCAATCAAGATAAATAAAAAGAAAGCCTTACATTGGCATACTTATTCATACTTTATAGAACACTTTCTTTTATTCTGCATAAAGCCATAGGAAGTGAGTGCTATTATCTACATTTTTCATAAAGGAAAACGGGTTCAGAAAGCTAAAATATAATAATTATCTAAGGTCATGTAATACTATGCAGCAGAGACAGAATTCAAATCCAGTTCCGACTAAAGTTCAGATCCTTTCCTATACTTCAGAAATAGAATATAACACAACTAGAGAGGGACTTGGTAAGGGGTGATCTCAACTTTGCTGAGTAACTGCCCCCACCAAAAACAGAATCCTTAACTTGGAAACTTCTCTCTGGAAGTAGGTGGAAACCTTCCTCAGGTATCTGTGAGACAGGAGAGACAGCACTGGACTAGAAAAAGCTTTGCAGCTAGAGGCAGGAAAGTAGCTTGTACCTTAGATTGTGAGTTAAATCAAATGAGGCCAAGCCAATTTACTGTGCTAACGACCAAGTTAACTCACATAGTTCAAAGAACTGGCCTGATATGCAACAGAAAGCTACACAACAGCCTACTCTGCAGGACCCAACTGTCAGGAGAGCAGGGTAGGAATGTCCTCCTCATCCTCCTCCTTTCACTGCTGAAGACAGTTTAAATATTGTAGTATGTCCTAGAGAATATGCCTTTTGTTCATCAGTGTGATTCAACTTGGGAATTACTCTTATCTCTTCCGTTCTGGTGGCATTTCACTTGCTTATGGCTTATACTTGATTTGTTTTTTTCCAGAGTACTAAATTAAGAATTTTCTAAGAGTGAAGCCTATGGCTTTCTACCACAATCAAATACCCCATTCCCTAGATGTTAACATGCGGCTGACATCTCTCTACTAGCCTGGTATACAGAACACACACATTTTCCTTCATAGTTGCCTCCATAATGTGTAAAAGTTGGGAGATTTACAATGCCTGAACTCACAGTATGAGGCATCAGAGCCAAGTGCCAGACTATTCAGTAGGAAAACCAACCAGCCCCTGATTTGATGTCTTGTATGCAGGTGTGGCCATCATCATCAGACACAACTGTGGAAAAGGCCCTTATGCAACATGGAAAAGGAAAGAGAAACAATTCTGATCCTTCATGATGTCTGCCTGGTAAAGGGCAGGGGACAGAGGTGCACAAAGATGACTAACAATAGAAAGGAATCACAGTAGGTAGTAAGGTGGCTCTGCAAGGATTTATTGAGCATCAGCTATGTGAGCAGGCTTGCAGGGGCATGAACACACGGAGGGGAGAGAGCTGTAACTCAAGGCATGCTTGTCAAATAGGAAAGTACACAGTCATCCTACCATCATCCATCCATCCACCCATCCTTTCATCCATCCATCCATCCATCCATCCATCCATCCATCCATCCATCCAAGTGTTCAGTGTTTAATGGGTACCTGACAAACATACGCCAATACTGTCTAGGTGCTAGAGAGACCAAGAAGACCAGTAGGGAAGGATCCTGGAAGGATTAGATACTCAGTATTTGACAGTCCTCTATGAATTAATCATTTCAATTAAGTTCTTACAAAAACCCTGTGGAATAAGTTTATTGTCATCATCTTATAGACGAAACTGAGGCTCAGAGTGGTTAAGTAGCTTGCCCCAAATCACAAAGAGAATAAACATCAATCTGGGATTTGAACCAAGTTATCTACTAGGCCTAGCTCTGAGCCTGTGCCCTTAAAAAATCAGTAATTATTATGCAATTACAGTATAGTGTGATAATTGTAACAGAGGTAGAAAATTCAAAGGAAGCACAGAGGAAGAGACAATTTTGTGTGGGGAGGAAGTAGTTTTTTTTAGTTTTCCAAGTGGGCTAGCAAGGAAAGAGAATTTCAGGCACAGGTTAACAAGCATACACAAAGGTAGAGGGAAAAGGAGGGTTCACCTGTGGCAAGAGTGGCAGGAGTTGAAGCTGGAGAGTAAGATAGGGAGTGATCACAGAAAGCTGTGCATGTCAGGTGCCAGAGCATCTCTGAGAGGTCCCTACCTCCTGCTGTGACTCAACTGTCCTCTACCCTGTAGGAGAAGCCTTTCCAGGAGCCTCCTAATCCTTCCAACTCCTGGCAGTGGCCTCCTCCTATAATAAGTTGCCTGTGCCAGCCAAATCAAAGGCCTTATGTTTGCACCCATCATCCCACCCTCTGTGGCCACTGCAGACCATAACATGCCCCAAGATTCTGCTGACAGCCTGAGGACAGAGGCCCCAGGGAGTCCCCTAGTCACCAGAAGAGTGATGAGAGCTGACTCTTCAAAGTGAGACCCAGCTCTCACAGACCTCTCTGCCACAGAGCCAATGTATCTTCTCATTCTACTCACAGTTTAGAGTCCAGATTCAGGAGGAAGCCCAACCGATCATACTCTGAAAAAGAAAAGCAGAAAATGTCATTTAAGTCAAGTCACTGATGATACTAGCATATTGCATCCCCCAGACCTAGACCATGGGGACAGACAACCCTTGGAAAAGAACACAATTCAACTGCTTCAAAGAATACAACTAAATACATAAACCACAAAACACCAGCTGAACACCTGTTTTGTGAAGGACCAAGTTCAATGCCAGGTATTTCCTATGCATTCTAGGGCAGCCAGTCCTATGTTGGTATACAACTGCCTTCCTTCCTGTATAAATGTGGTAACTGGAACTGAAATTTAGTAAACCATGAAACTGGAACCTGGAAAATTAAGAGGCTCAGATGCAATATCTGCTTCCTCTGAGCTCTAAACACAGCATTTGCTGAATCAGTCACCTTAGCCATGGGGTGAGGATGTGGCAGTCAACAGGTCCCCAAATCCATGCCAATTCTCTTCATGGTCATCATAAAGAACCAATACATCAGATTACATAAAGAATAGCAAGTTTACAATAAAATTTAAAGACAAATTGATGTTTCTAACAAGTGATTAATCAGTATTTTAATTTATTTAAGTTCTTTACATCTTGCCTCATTCTAAAATGAGGTTGAAGCAGTTCTATAAAATTGTATGGAGTACAAGATTTATAAAGGATAAACCTGGGGGCCAAAGTGGACATAAACTTAGGAAAATGCAGGTGGGGTAAGGAAAATAGTAAAAGTGAATATCCTAGGGCCGTGTGTGCTTGCTGGAGGAAGATTACAGATCTGTCCTCAAGATTTTCCATAGCTAAAACTAAGTGCAAAGCACTGATTTCATGGTTCAGCAGTATCTAGAAAATAAACCAGGAGAATCACAGCTATTCTTGATACTAAGACTTGAGGAAAATTTCCTGTGTCCTCAAAAACATTTGTATAAGGAAAATGATAGGAAGTGTCATGGGATTATTTCTTATGGCTCTGCTCCATAGTTGCAGTATGTGTGTGTGTGCGTGTGCGTGTGTGTGTGTGTGTGTGTGTGTGTCTAGCCAAAATAAGGTGGCCTATGAATGCAGTTCTTAGCTGGCCTGGCTCAGTCTGAGGGTAAAACAGAATACCAAAATACTGGATGGAAAAGGCCAGGCAGCAAAGCTTTCGAGGAACTCAGGCTTTAATAAGCAGTGAACAGCAAAAAGAGGGAAGTCACACACGCTGACAAGTACCTCCCAGGAGTCGTTCTGCAAGGCCAATTAAGGCCAGACTCATTGCTTTCAAAATCATCTGAGCTGTGGAGAGAGAATAAATCCTCTTCTTAAAATTGAAGCTACCAACTAGGACACACAACTCAACACAAGGCTTACCTCCCAAGAGAATGGCCTTGAGCAAGTGAAAGCCTTTCCTCAAAATAATTCTGGTTTTGCTCTAACGCAGGCAAATGGATGAAAGACTTGCCTTAACATATCAAGAACTTACAAACATTGGTAAGAAAAACAAAAAAAGACTTAAATATAAAATAAAACTAAAAATACAATTTGCAGAGAGTTAGTGTCAAAGTTAAGTGCTCTCTCAATAATCCTATCTTATCATTCCATAAAAAGGAAGCCTTATCAACTTGCCAAATACCCGTTACTTTTTCCCTGTGTGGTGACAACCCTGGGGGAAGTCTCGTGCTGTTGCTCCTCAGACCTGAGCTAAGACTCCCTTAGACAATGAATCCATACTTAGGCGGATTCCTTCAAGAGAGGCCAGAGAATGTTTCCCTCATTGTTGCAAATTCAAATGTCAGGGGCCAAGCAAGAGCATAACACAAATGAGGGAAGTGGGAGAATGTAATACTCTTATACAGCAGCTCACACTACTTATTTTAGTTGCATTAAAAAACAAATCCTGTTGGAATGTCTTTTTTTTTTCAATTCACTGTTTTTCCTCCCATATATTCTCTGTATAGTAAAAATAATTATATCTGTGGTTTATTATTTGCCAATGGCATCTTAGTTTTGTTTTGTTTTACACACACACGCACACACACACTGCATATTACAATTCTAAGAACTCTGCATTTCTAAAGCAAGTTTGTCCCTTCATGTCTCTCCTGGTCTATCTATTGTTTTCTCTCTTTCATTAAGAGATATGAGGGCAGGACAAAGTGGCTCACACCTGTAATCCCAGCACTTTGGGAGACCAAGCTGGGAGGGTTGTTTTGAGTTCAGGAGTTTGAGATAAGCCTGGGTAGCATAGTGAGCCCTCATCTATTCAAACAAATTTTTTAAAATTAGCTGAGCATGCTGGTGCACACCTGTAGTACCAGCTACTCCAGAGGCTGAGGTAGGAGGACGGCGTGAGCCTGGGAGATCGAGGCTGCAGTGAGCTGTGATCACGCCACTGCACCCTAGCCTGGGCAACACGGTGAAGGATCACTGTACCCCCCACAGCCCTCAGAAAAGAGACAGGAGTACCAGAATAATTTAAGGAAAGGTAATTGTGAGCCCACTGATGATAAATGGCAGCTCACCCGTGGCTCTAGCGTCAAAGCCCAGAGGGAACTGAGTCCATCTGGAGAGTGTGTGCCCTGCTGAAGGGTGGCTCCCACTAGTTCCTGCTAACTATGCCAGGCAGCAACTCAGGCCCCGCATTACCACATCTTCTGATTTTTTTCAAGGCAGGAATCTGGATTTTTAAGGTAAAATTTCTAAGTTTATAAACATTGGCAAATGGATTCAAGAAAAATGTAAAGATTATGTGGACTGACAACTCATGAGGGCTGTGGCTGCCCACAGCAGATGCTCAATAAATATCTGTTGACTATTATCAGGATTATTTGGTCACAACAGTCACAAGTCCAAATCAAATTAGGGTAACAGGATGCTCGAAATAAAATTTTAGCCAGGCCTATAAGGTGATACATTTCAGACACCACAGTGAAGTGCTAGACTAAGATGCAGATTTTCAAAAGAAATCTCTTAATACATATCATGTAATTCTAAAGGCCTTCCCTACATCAAATATAAATAGCAATCAGTTGCTAGAGATGAAGGGAGACAGGATTTGAAAAATGTCTTTGTCGGGAGCTGTGTTATGAACAGGGCAGGCGGGGTACTTGTCTCTCACTCCAGCCTCTGAAGGACGCCTAACATGGCCTTAAGGTTTAGAGAACACAGTGGGTTGCCTGGGGCACCTCCTACCCAACAAGTCTAGAGGACACAAAGGGCAATGGGTGGGCTGCTGCAGGAGAGCACTGCATGGGGACTGGCCTGCATTCCCAGAATCTGTGGCAAAAACTAATACATGAAGGAGTTGGTGGGCTCATTTCAGGTCCTTTCCAGAAGATCTGCCTGGAGGGTTGACTGGCCCTCGGCCAACAGAAGCAGCCGGTAGATGCTAGGATTCCCAGGAGCTACAGAAGTGAGGAGCAAGGCGGAGACATGGGCATTACCCACACCGGGGTAACCACGGGAAGAGGCCCCTAAGACGGAAAGGGGTCATCAGAATACTCACAAAAGCACCCCATCAGAGTCAGCTTTAACTATTTGTCAGGTCCAGAGAGTGCAAACACTCTAGGTCTTTACTGCTCATTCTCTCTCACTCCCACAGCAATCTTGGATACGTCAGAGGCATATAGGAGAGGAGGGAAGAGGAAAGACAAGCAGGGCATGCCCTTTCCCCACCAGGCACCTGCCAGCACTAAGCCCTATTGCAGGGAAGGGAGCAACTGCAGCTTTTATGAATTGAAAGCTGTGACTGTTACACAAGATGGGACCCTCTAAGTTTGGAAATGGCAACTCACTGCGACTATGGAATTCTTATTACTTCAGATGTATTAAAGACATGAAAACATTTTAAGGGAACAGTGGGAGACAAAATGAAGGTGTCTGTGATGATCCCTCGACATTTCTTGCATGCTTAACATACTGGTTGCACTAACTCAGGTGAACAGGGTGATTTAGTGGTTCACATAACCAAAACGTAGGAAGGGCCAGAGTGCGGAGGGTCTCAGGGGTGACCAAGAGTGACTGGAATAGAGGGAGGCCATCGGGGAGGCCATCGGGCCTCCCTCTATTGTCTGTACTCTCCCCTGGTGAGCTTTCTTCGTGAGTGAGGCAACGTGGCCACCAGCAACCTGTAGGCAAACATCTTCCGCTTTGCCACTGGCAAGGGATTGCATTAGGCCCTCTGCTCCCAAGGGCGAAACTCCTGGGGAAAGGCTAGGGCTGGTGGAGCGTGCACCAGCACTTCGTTCTGTTCTAGTCACAGAGACTGAGGAGACGGGGTTTCTGGAAAATGATGACTCCCATGTGATACACATGGTTACAAGGAGCATTACCAGAAGAAATGTGTTGTACTGAACAAATAAAGTCCCCTTGCAAACAATAGAAATAATCTTTGAAAAACTAAAGAGCTAGCTAAATCTCGGAGTTTAGATTTAGCTGTAAATCTCAGAGCCAGTTACAATGAGCCATGGACCCCATTGCTCTCATCCTCGGTCCTCTGACAACCCTTCTCATAATGCCCTCTGACTCACGATTCCAACCACCTGGGTCACCCCTCTCTACCTCCTGCCACAACTGAAGCCTGGCAGACCCTACAAAGCTTTTCTTGAGGCTCTCCAGGGGACGCTGCTTTTCCTCTCCTCTGCCAAGCACCTGTGGGAATGAGAGGGGAGTGCTTATGACATACTTTGCAGCGATTTTCATCATCTTTCCTGTGTTTGGCATCCTTGGGGCTCTTGGATCTGTGGGTTTTAGTCACATTTGAAAAAAATTTGGTTCTTATTTCTTCAAATATTTTTCTGCCCTCCTCTTTCTTTTAGGGGCTCCAATAACACGTGTGTTAGGGCTGCTTGAAGTCCCATAGCTCACCAGTGGTCTGTTCATTTTTTTCCCCCAGTAATGTTTCACTCTATGTGTCTTTTCTTTTTCTTTTTTAAGACAGGGTCTCGCTCTGTGGCCCAGGTTGGAGTACAGTGGTACAATCCTGGCTCACTGTAACCTCCGCCTCCGGGGTTCAATCGATTCTCCTGCCTCAGTCTCCT